TTACTTATTATTTCTCTATTTATTTACTCATTATTCACTTATGCATTCATTCTATATCTTTTATATCTGGTAACTGGATCACTTCACATACTTCCTCAATCACTACACCTGTACCAATAAAACAATATTTAAGAGAAAAAAAGAAAAGTAAGAGAATATTAAAAGGAGGAGACATGAAGATCTCCTGATGGAAGCTGCAGTGACCGAGTGTGACAGAGAGAGTCACACTGTGACCTCTGTCCACAGATCTTCATCTGTCAGTGCTCATTGCACAGTCACTGGTCTGCTTCCAGGCCCTGGGTTTCTACTCCACTAATTTTTTATTTGATAGACCTCGTGTTTCTACTACACTAATTTTGTATTTGATAGACCTCGTGTTTCTACTACACTAATTTTGTATTAGATACTGTCGTCTGTCCTTTGCAATGGACACATTCACTTGTTTCACTGTATGGCAATGCAAATTTAAAACTCTGACTTCAAAATCACCAGAGCCACAGTACAAACCTGCTTCTAAACAAAGAGACAGTGTTGCTCTGGAGATGGAGAGCAGAAGATGAAACCCAGAGATGGCAGAGTCAGCAGGAAGAATTGACTAAGGGAGGAATTTGGATAGGATAAGAGAGAGCGGGGGAGCCATGAGGAGAGGGATGCACAGTAGGTCTAGCTTAAGTGCTGCATATTTCAAGTTCCCCTAGAGTCCCTTTCACATGCCCTTTCTCTTTAAAGTGATGATCTCTATACATCAGGAGACACAGGGTGGTGATCTGAGGTGTGGCCTGGGACAGCAGAAGTAGGAGCTCTGCAGGAAGTCCAGATGGCAGTGTGCCCACTTCCGCAGCATAGAGGGTCTCTGTCCAGCACAGGAGGAGGTAAGCCAACTACCACAGGACTCTCTCCAGGAAACCTTCGTTATTAAGGAAATATGTTCCAGGGCTGGTGTTTCACAGCATCCTTGTTTGAGGGGGTCATGAGCCAGTACAAGCTACCCATGACTGTGCACACCCTGTGGACCAGTCTGCAGGGGAATAACTAGCAGTCCTCATTAATCTGTCTGCCTTAGGGTGTGTGGTCCTAGTGAAATATTTCCACACATGAAGGAAAGGGAGCTCCTTCCTCTCCTTCCTCTTCCTCCTTCCCTGCTGTTGTATTTGCAGCCTTCAAGTATCCCTGTGTCCAGCCCATCAGAAAAGACACAGTTCCACTGCATGCTGGTCTAGTTTATATGTTTGTGAAGGGGCCTCACTGCAGGGAGTTTTTATCAGAACCATATTTGTCTCCTAACAAGAAAGTGACAGCAAGCTGGAGGAAAATGGGTACCACATCGGATGGAATGCAGAGAATTTGCTCCACTTTGGAAGTGAGTGGGCCTTACCTAGCCTAGGACACTTGGTCAGAGATTGGGTCAGCACTCTTAAAACTTTGTGCCCAGGTCCCACTGGGTACAGTAGTCAGGCCTAGCCAGCCTTTTTGACCTTATAGCTATGTCTTTCCGACAGGCTTTCTGCTTGCTTTTCCTGCTGGGATAATTGTCTAAGGGGTTGTCAGGTGCACATGACAGGCAGACAACGTCTATGTCTCCATGTAGTAAAGGATGGCCACTCTGATGGGGATTAATGTCAAGGCTCATCTATGTGCAACACATGGTCGCAAGCATCTCTGAGATCACTACATAACAGTCTGTAGTAGATGCTTAGTTTTTGGTTTCTGGTCTAAACTTGCTCTGGCTTAGAGGTTAGGAAGAATGAGGGGGCCCAGGCAGTCCTGCCTCAATCCCAAGGGTAGGTAGCCATTGAATTTATGTTACAGAGGACGAGAGAGAGAGAGAGAGAGAGAGAGAGAGAGAGAGAGAGAGAGAGAGAGAGAAGGTAATAGCTGAGGCATGTCTACAGAGGGATAATGGAGATAACTTGATATGGTGGCAATCTCTTCTCTGATTCTAACAAAATGAAGAGAAACAGTTTGAGTCAAAGATTGGGAACATCTTTGATTCAAACAGGGTTTCCCTGTGTAGCTTTGCAAGATGAAAACTTCAATGTGAACTTTCTATAGCAGTGGCCACTGCAGGGAGGAAATGATATCTTCTAGATGGTTATGTGAGAGAAGTCATCTTATGATGAGGCTCAAACACTTAACACTCTCGTTGCCCCACTGCCTGCCCCCTGGTGTCAGCAGGAATAAGTGCAGAGAATACATGCTATTTGTACCAATATCTTTCCACACACTGCTCCAAAGTTCCTCAGTGATGCTCACCTCCCAGTTGAGAAAAGTGAGTCCTAGTGATGCTGGGTAGGTTGCTGTTTTGCACAGAGCCTGACTGGTTGGAACTGTTTAGATTCCTCTCAGAACACTACCCAGATAGGATGGCTAGGGTGGTGACAGCCTGGGTCTCTGTCATCTCAGAGGTTAACTCCAGAACTCTCATTGACCAACCTTTTCTCCTCAGTTCTGCAGGTTCTGTTGGATATGTTCAGACAAACCTCATCTTCACCGTATGTGCATCCTGTGTCATCTAGGCAAGTTTTCAGTGAGCTGGGTGCAGGAAGCACAGCGTCTAGAAACAGACATGTTGTTGGAAACTGCATTCCTTCTTGATCCTAGGGCCTGTTTATGGGACAGTAGCAGAGCAGCTAGAACAAACCAGTCCCTGAAATCAGGGCTTTCCATGGAGACCCCACTGAGTTCTCCCTCAGGGAGGTCACATAGGAAGAAAAGGGACATTACTGTTGCCTCATTATGTCCTGAACTCCACCAGAAATAAACCAGCTGTTTTCTGATAAGCCACAGGTCTAGGGTGGGGAAGGAGTTTTCTGCCAGCCTCATCTTTGGTCTAACATAAGCATTTTCTCATAGGTGCCTGGCCATATCCCTAGTCTTGGAACCCAAGAATTCCTGACCTGAGTATGTGCACACTTACCATGAATGACATGGAGGGAAAAGAGCACCTCTCATCTCCCCTACTTT